AGACAAAATAATGTAGAGATGAAAAGTTCAAATTAATTTATAGGCTTAGTGCAAATCCAAATTTTCAACTTTTGCAAAAATTATAAAAATTCATTTAGCAGAATTTCAAAGAAAAGTCTGTAAAATAAGAGTAAAGCCGGAGAGAATAGACCTAGATATAAAATGTATTAGAAAATTATAATATTTAAAATTGTGTGATATTAAGGCAAAAATGTACAGCCGTTTAAATAGATTAAAATAGCTCAAAATGAGGCAATGATACACATACTAATTTAATATGTAATAAAGTGCCATCATCAGGAATAGAAAGGGTTATTTTAAAAATTATTTTGGGCTAACTGGCTGACAATTAGGAGAAAAATTTGTACCCTCACCGCATATAATACAACAAATAAATTCTATCTGCAAATAACAGCAACAATAATAATAAGGAAAAGAAAATAGACACTTTCAAACACCTGGAGAAGAAATTACTTTTTAAGTTTAAAACGAATGGAAGAGATTAAGGGAAAAGAGAACGTTTTTGGTTATATAAATAAGTCAAACTTGACCATGCTAAGAAAATAAAAGTTATCTCCAAGATATATTGTTAAGTGAAAAAAGCAAGTTGTAGTTAGTATAATGTTTGCATAAAAAAGAAAAATGTACACAAAACAAACTATATCTTTTTGGCTAGCTTGGGAACTTGACAATTGAAAATTCGCCCTCCCCTCCTCCTCCCTAAGTGGGAATCCTGGACTCTGCAGAGCTGCCTCACTGCCAGGAAGGCCTAGTAGGAAGGGTCCCAAGGGTTTGCTGCTAAAAGAGGTTTGAAAACCCCACAGCTCTATGCATGAATCCATTATGGCGTTCCTGGTGTGCGGCTGACGCCCTTCTTGGAAGAATCCTGTAACAGTAGACTTCGCTACCTTTCTTTATTGAAGCAGGGATCTACTGTCCTGTTATGGTCATCTGTGTCCAGCTTTCAGATCGAATTTCTACAATTCTCCATTTTTAAGGAGAAGCTTCCAGTGTAATCCACCAGGAGCTCCAAGATTCTGCCTGATTGGCCATCCTGAGGATAGGCCAGGGGTGCTGAAGGCTCATGCTGAGCAGCAAAAGGCGGAGGGAGTGCAGAGTCCTTGCGAAGTCACTCCTCTTGGGGGGTTCCTGGGAGCCAGAGGCCTCTGGGAGACAGAGCTCTGTCCTCCGTGAAGCCAGGTTGTTATACAACAGGCTGTAATTAATATCACCCAGGCTTGGAAAGACATCCCATCATTCTAATAAAAAATGAAAGCTAACTGGGCCCAGTGCCCAGAGCCTGGAGACAGTTGCCAGGCCAGAAGCCTCCAGCAGAGGGCGCGCTCAGGGACCATCTGTTACCCCCATGCCAATCAATGCCCACAGTGCCAGCCACCAAACTGCAGGAAAATGCAGCCCTGCCCCATCTGGTCCTGTTCTGCAGAGCAGGGCAGGTACCAGGAGTCCTGCTGCCCCAGAGGATGTGAATCATTCAGAAGAGAGGCCTGGAGTGTCAGGGACAGGGGGAGATAGAGAATGGGCACCTGCCTCAGGGGTTGATTTCCTTTGACCTTCAACTTGCACCTCCGTTTGTCACCCAAGTTGCACTGATCAGGCTTCCACCCTTGTGTAGAGCATGGAAACTCAGCCAGGACTTGCCCGCACACTGCTTTCAGGTTCACCCGCTGAAAACACCTCTGGCATCGTGTGCTTGTGCTCGAGAACTTGTTCCGTGGCGTCATATGGGTGTCTCCACCTGGTGTCTGGGCCGATTTGCCTCTTTCCTTCTAATCTGCATCATCTCTCCACGCACTGTTTGCCTTTGCCTTAGGCAGATGGGTCCCCTCGCTGCCTCCTCCGAGCTGCCGTTCCCTTTCTCTCCTGTAAATCCGCACTTACAGTGCCCATCTCACAGAGTTGCTGTTGAGAGGATTAAGTGAGAGAACAAGTGTGAATCACACGCCCACTTATAATAAATGTTTGCGATGACGATAATGCTGCTGCTGNGACCCAGGTCAGGCCCTCAAGGAGCTTACCGTCCTCAGTAGACACAGCCAAGAAAACAGGAAGTTATGCTGCAGAGTGCAATTATTTCTCTTCCTCTGGAAATGCATAAAGACCTAAGAGGAAAGAGGAACCAGCATTTTGGTTGCTGATGATTTGGGCTCTGAGTTGAATAGACTATCTATTGTGCAAGTGTATTGTGCAAAAAGAGAATGGGGCTTTTTGTGAAGGGAGATAAAGAGGGTGTGGGGTGGGAACAGGGAGTATAGGGGAGGAGGAGGCAGGCCTGGAAGCTGTGGGTGGATTGTGGGCAGGGCTGCCCTGAAGGTTCCTCCAAGTTGTCCTCCCTGGCCTGCACCTGGGTCTCCGTGTCCGTGGCCAGCCAGGTACCTGGGGGGCTCAGTAAATGTTTATTGTTCATAAGAACAGATGAATGAATGAGCATGTAACAGGGATCACTCTTATGAATTTCCTTTAAGGCGTTCATTAAACATGTTGTCTGAAAAATAGAAGACCTCATTGTGAAGCCATGATGATGAGCAAAATGAGAGGGGGATTTACAGTCTTCTCCACCAAGGAAGCAAGGTAGGTGTGTGTGTGTGTGTGTGTGTGTGTGTGTGTGTGTGTGTGTGTGTCTGCTTTAATGTCAGGAGGGACCTGGGTTCAAGTTTGAATGTGGCAATGACCGGAGTTGGAGGAGCTCTTAGCTATTGCCACTTGCCAGCTGTGTGACCTTGGCCAGACTATCTCTGAATGGTTCACTGCCTAGAAAATGGGCTCAGGTTGACCTATGTGTATCAAGGAGATCACATGAGATAATGCACATAGGATGGTGCTGTGTAGACTGTAAAGCACCCCGCAAGTGGAATGAGCTGTCGATGTTAGTATGATTACCTGTAAACCCCAGGCATCACCTGCCTGGCACAGGTGGAGGAGGGGTACCATAGGGTGATAGGTTTGCTGTGTTGAATCTTCAGACGTGAGTTATCTTTTTGGTCTCCTCCCTCTGCCTTTATTCTTCACTTTATTGCCTTTAATCATCAACAAACATTTATTGAAAGCCCCTAACGTGCTGGCCACACTCAAGGGTCCCCCAGGCAACCAAGGGTGACAGATGTAAGACTAACGATGACTTATTCAAGAACAGGAGTACCTAGCTCTCATCTTTGGGAAGCCTTCTTATAAGAGGTGATGTTTAAAATGAGTTGAAAGAAAAGTGGGAACCTGCTCAGCTAAGCAAGGGGGACAGAGCTTTGAGCAGGGGAGCAGACTTTAGGAAGACCATTGAATGAGACGATACATGCCAGGTGCCTAGCACTGAGCCTGACCTGTAGTCAGTACTGAAAAAAGCCAGTTCTCGGTTTCTCTGTATCAAGATCACTTCCTGTCCACATTTTGTTCTTTTCCTTAGTTCCTGGGGGCATAGTGACTGTTGGCTTGGGCTGTAAGTTCCAAGATCCTCAAAACAATTTAAAAAACAGATCCTATTTTCCGCCATAAAGAAAATCCCAACAAATTTGAAATACAGATGTTATGTGGATGACATCCTTTGTTCACAATATGCTGCAACTAGAAATTAATGTTAGAAATTGACCATTGAGAATTCTCCAAAATCACTTTTGGATAAAGGAGTGAATCAAGAACCAAGTGTTAATTTAGAAAATAAGACAGAAAAGCACCGCACTAATGAAAACCAACAGTACACATGCAAAGCTTTACTCAAAAACTGTGGCTTTTAAAATGATTTTATTATTATATCCAGAAAAAGTTAAACAAACAAAATATTCATGAAGTCATTTAGGAATATTTAAAACAACAAACAAATAAACAAACAAACAACACCCCAAATAAAGACGTGGAAGGAAATCAGGAAAAAAGCAGGAAAGAATGAGTTAGAAACTAGAAAAGCAGTTGCATGAATACCTATTTCTTGAGCTGGTTCTTTTTGTTCAAGTCTAAATAATACAACGGACAAATATAATGAAGGAAAAACACCAGCAACAAGCACAACTTAAGGTGAAAGGGTAGAAAGGACAACAGAACTAGACTAAAAATATAAAAAGTGAAATTGC